TTTTTATTTTAATTGTACAAAAACTGGCAGACTTAATCGTGTTCTATATAATGTGCTATACAAAAAAAGAGGATTGGATTGATCCTTGGACAGAGACTGACACCACCGAAGCCTCACGACGCAGACAAAAAACAACAAACCGTCTGACTCTGCAATAGATTTAAAACCCGGAGTCTTGGAAAATGTAATTAGGTCTTATCTTGGATTTGTGTATTTTACATGCTCTGAAATCCCTTTATCTGCTCTATTAGCGCCTGAGCCCAAGTCAAACGCCGCCGTTCTCTGTAATCTCTGTTTTTCCTCTCAGCGAAAAACTCATCCATCGTCTGTGGCGCTTCATGCCTCAAATATTAACCCTTTAAATCTTTAGGGACTCAATTATGAAGCTGCTAGAACTCCCACAGCCGCCATTTTGACTGCTTCAATTCAATTTAATGTATTCTTGTTTAGCTGTAATCCTGAATTTCTCCAAAGCGGGATCAATAAAATATCTATGTATTTATTTCATTGCAACAGGAGTTATCGCAGAGGAGTTTACAAAGGTCCCGACTCAAAAATGTCCAAAATGACGTGCGCTGACATGCTGCATTACCAACTGTGGGCCTGTGGGGGTGTATCCGGAATTAGAATTACCCAATGCCTTTGTATAGCATCTTCTTTCCTCTTGAAAACGTCTTTACAGGATGGTCCAAAAGTCGCTCTTGGCCCACATGTGTGTCAATGCTGAGGGGAGTGTATTTTTTTGGACCAGTCTAGTTTAGTCGCTGTGGACTTATGAAGGTACTCGTTAAATAAATGGGGCTGGTGCAGCTGACGCATGCTCCAATGAGTTATTTCACATTTTCCAGCCCCTCGGCCATTCTGAAAAGCCCCATAGAAATTGTTAACATTTACAGTCTATGGTCGACACATCAAACAGTTCAAACACAAGAAAAGCAATGATAGAAAACACAGGCAAAAAGAGGGGAAAAATGTGTCAAAAATTGCAAAAAAAATTGTCAAACTTAGGCTGAGTCCGGTATGGATCAATTGCGGATCCCTCTTTGTACCCCTTGAGGTTTCTCACTTTTTTCTCTGTGTTTGCAGGACGGTCTAAGGACAGTCTCTCTCTCTTTGGACCAATGGCTCCTATGTGTTTGTTAAAGGTAAAGGTTTGCACTTTATTTATCCCCGTTGGGAAATTCATCCTCTGCATTTGACCCATCCTGACGCCGCCAAGGCTTGTGTCAGGAACAGTAGTCGCCATAGTAACAGCGCCTGGAAACCCATCTCCAGATGTTGATGCTCGAATTGGTCAGGACTGGTCCGGAGCTGGAGGATTTTACCTGTCGTGCATGTTTTTTAATGGTAGGGGATACCGGAGCTCTCAGAGAAAACCCGAGCACTCGGATGAAACCGGAGCACTCAGAGGAAACCGGGGCACTCGGAGGAAACCTACGCAGAAACGGGGACAACATGCAAACTCAACTCAAACAGACCCTGTTCGGACTGGGATTTGAACCCAGGCTAACCACTCAGCCACTGTATGTTGCCCATTGTTATTACTGCATTTCCTATGTTCACGCTATTTTAATCTCTAATCTGTTTTTAGGGAATCGAAAACAAAATCTTCCGAGATGCCTTCTGTCATGACTGGTCAAGACTAAACTAAAACAAATAATGATATTATTATAATATAATATATAAATAATATTAACCAATTGACGCGTAAACAAAAACACCGAAAACTTGTGTCAAAACATGAGGTGGAATGAGGAGATAAGAAGGTTTTGTGCTTCTTTAATTTAATAATTTAAAATTCCGTGAGGTGCTCTGGCGGCGGCTGGATGTGGGTCACAGGAGCAAAACAAAATTACATTTGCAAATTGTTGCCGAAAAGGACTGAAAGCTTAGAACAGTAAGACCAGAATAAATCGCATTGTGATTTTGGGGTCTGTGGTTTTTCGTGTCATCCATACTGAGCGGGTCTTCACACCAACAAAACAAAAGGATTAAGTGGGACATCCAGAGACTAGTTCAAATGCAACCACTGTAATGCAAAAGTCGGCGAAAAATAAGTCAAAAATTACAAGCATTTAGCAAAATGTAAAGTAATTTGAGCACATTCTGACCGTTCTTGACTAATAACAACTGTCAGACTAAGGCTAAAAGACTTGAAGACAGTCAGAATGTTACTCAGATTAAGATAAAAACCCAACTGGGTTAAGGGCCTATTGCTAATTCCTGGGCTTCCCCTACAAAAGTCAGTTTACATTGCGCCTATGGGAGGGGGACCGAGGTCAAGTTTGTCGTAGAGCCACAAAATTCGGTACACATGTTCCTCAAGTCAAGACTTGAAAATAAAGTTATTATGGCTCCGCCCCTTGACAAACAGGGAGCTCAATAATTTCAATGGGAAATGGAAAAATTAAAATCAATATTTTTCACACATGTCGGTTGGAAAGCGACTCCACCTCGGCCGTTTCACCGATTTGTCTCAAAATCGCTCAACATGGTCTAAACACATGTACCATCAATAGTTGATCAAAGAATTAGTTAAACCTTGTCCGAGCAGCGTAGCGGCAAAATGGGACGGTTTTGCGCCAGGGTCTAGGTCATTTGAAAGTGGAAATTTTGAAATTGGCTCATTAGCGCCACCTACAGTCTGTATAGTCAAAGTTTTACATGGGCTGAATCCAATTTAGTTTTTTCAAAATGTAGGAAATTTTGCCCATAATTCTGTTTTTGAGTCATCTGGATTCATAAAGTAAATGACAACCAAGACTTAATTTTAATCCTGTTGTCGTGGTGACAACAAACAAGCTCCATTTGTGTGTCTATGGCAAAATTGTTAAATCTCTGAAATGTACACCTCGCTCAAACATCAAACCAGCCGCGACCGTTTCACTAATTTGACTGAAAAGTAGTAGTTGAATAGTTGAATATAGAATTTGAATAAGTCAAACGGTCTGCGCGTGACAGACTCCCAAAGTGTGGTTATTTTCATAGAGAGGTGTGAAGTTCCCATGTTATCCAATGGAGACTGTATGGACACACTCACAGATTGTATGTGCAAACAGGAGCACATTTACAAACTCTGATTTGAACTAAACTTGACTCGGTTGTTCAACTCCTGGGCCTAGGTCACATGACAGTTTGAAAATTGACATTGGCCCATTATCGCCCCCTACAGGCTGAGTAAAGGTTTACATGGGGATAAAGGTATTTACGTTTTCTATTGTTTGATCTCATATTTGACCCACTGAACAAACACAAAAACTCAACAAACTTCGAACAAGTTTTTTTCAGGCATAAAGTGTATTATTTTGGTGTTCTTTGGAATAAGACTTAAACATTGAATTTGTAGAGGGCGCTGTTGACAACATAAATGCCACCGTTTGCACATACAAAGTCCGATCTGCACAAAATTTGAATTGATTGTTCAACTCTCGGGTTTGGGTTAAATGAAAGTGAAATTGCAGCATTAGCGCCCCCTACAGACTGATACAAGTGTTACATGGGAAGAATGAGGTTTTCCTTTTCAATAGAGACACACAATCACTGATCATAGGCACTGAAAATACACAGTGTCGCTCCCATCAGGGCTATAGGAAAATGGCGCGTCAGAGCCACCTTCGTTGCGCGGTGCTGCGCTTGCGGCTTTAAATTATATTTGCTTATTTTTAATGCTAAAGTTTAGATCAGCTCAGATAATCCACTCAATCCAAGTCTAATAACAAAACAAAAATCAAAACAAATGTTCTGTTTGATTTGTTCACAACATTTTATTTTTGGGCACAACCAACATTATTATGCCTTATTAATGCAAGGGAAAATGTAGGTACCACAGCTTTAATTTAGAGACACGGGGAGAACATGGACACTCCCTTAAGGTTCCATGGTCCAGCTCTTTCTTGCAGTAACGCAATATGTATTCATTTATTTTGCACACAAAGACACACACTTGCAACAAGCAGAGAATGGTCCCCGCTGGGTACATTATGACCATGTTCGGCTACCTGCTTGCCGCGTTGTTGTTAAGGAGCCGCTGTCATTACAAAGCGGCCAGAGTGGCTCTGGAGTCAAAATGCTGCTGCCACAGAGGAAAGCAGCAGCAAGTACCCCGCGATCACGCACACCCTCTCTGGCATTGCACTACGCCCCTCTAGGGTGGAGCGCCCCACTATTTGAGAAGGACTGGTCTATGTAAAGTACGCAAAGGCGCTTACTAACTCCAGTGATAGTACGCATTTCTGATATTTGTTGCACATGCGTACCTGCGTACCACTTATGTGCACCCCTGCTAATAATCAAAGATAAGAGGGGCATGGGAATCGGGGGAGGAGAATGGAGAGGTTTTTTTTTTGTACAAAATTTTATTGTAACATCTCCATATATAACCGTGGTAGATCAAGGCTGAATGGTTTGTTTAAAAGTAGATCCTAGTTCGATAAAGTGTGGGAACCCATGACTTAAGCGAATGAGAGTCAATATCCCTTTGAGCTACCATGGCCAGTTATCTCTCATTTTAAAGCTTGATTTATCTGTAAAAAACCTAATCATGTATTTTGGTCTATTTAAAAAGTATTGATCCAATCATAAAATCTATAAACCAGCCTACGTGACTCTTACTGTGGTCCACTTTTGATTCAGTCCAGAAAACCTTAAATCATCTTCCTACCAATTTGTTTAATATAACACCATGATATAAAAGTAACAATGTTGGACCTTTAGATAGACCTTGCACAATGTAAAACACTGCATATCGTACTGTCCACGTTAGGCCCTCTTTTTTATCAATAAAAAAATATCTGAGTCATAAAACCTCTTCTCAGCATGTTCTAATCTTTCTAAAGTAAAAAAAGATCAATCAATAACTTAGCTATAACTATTTCAATAATCAAATAAGGACACATTTAATATTGTTCATGCTTGAATAGATTTTAATCAATTCAATAAAACAGTGACTCAACTTTGTTGAATGGTAACATAGTTATGATCACATGAATCACTGTCAGTAGTTAGCAGCCGTAGAGCATGTTGATCCTCTTGATGTCCCAGTCGGACAGACCTTGAGTCTGTCCCAGCTTGACTGGGCGAGGAGAGAGGGGAGTGATGGTGTCGTGGCCGTTATTGCTGAAGGCAGTACTTGCGTAGTGCATCAGAGAGGTGTAGTCATAAGGCGTGTTCAAGTTGTTGGTGTCAGATTTCTCAAAGTTGTAGGCCATGTCAGGTATAATATTGTTCCAGTTGATGCGGACGTATTGGTCGCGGTCGCTCCTGGTCTGCTCGTGCTTGAAGCCCAGAGCATGGTTGAACTCATGCTGGATAATGGCGGTGTAAACACAACCATTTTTATTGAGTGACAGCACCTGTCGCCAGCCCTGCTTCCCAAGAGAAGAGAAACAGCCTGCTTGGTTCTCAACACTGATGAAGTCTCTCTCGCTGCGACGGGGGACAAAGCGGATGCAAGTTTTGGATGCAAAGCTCCCCAAAGCACTACTGATAATTCCATTCTCATAAGAATTGAAGTCACGGCTCACAGTGTAGGGGATTGAGACCAGGCCATCAGGGCCTTTGGGCCAGAGGCAGCTGTTGTAACCACACTTGATGGCGTTCCTTTTACTAGAAGGCAACAGGTCTCCTTCCTCAAGGAATGCAGCTGATTGGTTGTTGGAGGCCAAGATCTTCTCTCCGATGTTCTCAGTGTTGTCTTCAATGTCATTGCTTTCAGTGTTCTCCTCCTGTGGGAGCAAGTCTTCAGTGTTCTCCTCCTGTGGGAGCAAGTCTTCAGTGTTCTCCTCCTGTGGGAGCAGGTCTTCAGTGTTCTCCTCCTGTGGGAGCAGGTCTTCAGTGCTCTCCTCCTGTGGGAGTAGGTCTTCAGTGTCTGGGACAGGCAGAGCCTGGCTCTGAGAGGCCATCAGCAGCAGTAGGAGCACAGAGGCTCTGTACAGAGTCATGTTGAGCTTCATTGTGTTTCAAAGCACCAGGAGTTGGACTTTCTGGCTGTGTCCAGACCAGTGTCTTTATACTGTGCTCTACAGGTGTGTCCTCAGAGTATTATGGGCTGGTCCCCACAAATCTAGTCCTAAACTAAACATGTGGTTGTACAAAGCCCTCAGAGCAAACAGCAACGCCTCACTGAATACATTTGTGGACTTTGGTAAATTAATGTCAAAAAGCTAATGCTCTGAATGCAATACATAGCATTGCAAAAGTACTAATACAGCTTCACATTGTTTTGACTAAAAATATGATTATTACCTTTGTTTTCATAATCAAAAACTAAAAAGTGGGGTTAACAGAAGTCAGGCAATCCTACAGCATTTCTCCCTGCGCGTCAAAAAGCCTTTGAAAATGTTCTAATGAATGCCGAATCTTCACTATTAGCCTTAATCATTAAATAGAGCCTACCTCTCAGTATAATCACAGCTATTTCGTGATGAGCTCAGAGCTATGTTTAGAGCGTATACTGTATGTCTCTAATCAACATCATGAAGTGTAGACAACCCACCAGAGATGTCAGGGATGAAGTGTGGAGAAGTTTAAACCACTGTTAAGTCAAAGAAAGATATACTAGTCTAAACAGAGATTTTAGCTGCATGAATCTGAAACCCTGCCAGTCCCTGTGCTCCTCAGAGCACAGGGACTGGCCTGTCTTCAAGGTAAGACCTAAACCAACTTAGGGCGGTGCCAGCGACACCAACCCAGTCCTCTAGTCTCTGTAAGAGGATCTCATGGTTGACGGTGTCAAAGGCAGGACTTAGATGTAACAAGATTAAGATTGAGACTTGGCCTGCGTCAGTGTTCAGCTGGATATCGTTTGTAACTTGACGAGAGCAGTCTCAGTGCTGTGGTGGGGTCTAAAGCCGGACTGAAACATGTCCAATGAGTTGTTGATTATAAGAAATCTAGTAAGCTGTAGGTAGACAGATCTAATGTGATCGTTTCTTTCTTGAGCTGCAGTGTTTTGAATAAACTGCAACTATTCAAAGCTCGTTCAGAGAGCCCATTGGGGTGGCCATTACGGTAGTCTAACATACTGGAGACAAATCCAGGATAGGAATCTCCAAGTCTGTTTTAGACACCATATGTATTAGATGATAAAAATATGCTGATTTTACAGTTTTCAGTGGTAGATATTTTGAATTCTGAGTCCATTATTACTCTTAGATTTCTATCTGGGAGTTTTAAGGCTGTCAGTGGCGGCAACGCAGACACCCTACAGTATGCTACCTAATAGTCAGGGGTGCACATAACTTTTTCAGTGAGGTTCTCAGATGAGTACCAGGAAAAGATGTTTGGTACTCACTTAATTTGTCGCGTGGTTCTTAATCAATATTTTGCTATTGCTTTCACAAGTGTGAATGCAAGTGGTGGCGGTGCGTGACAGACGCGTCAGTGCCCGTCACTCACCACAACGTGACGGTTGCGTGCGTAAACTCAAACGCTTTAAAATGATGTATCATGTGCCATTGAAACCTACGTATATTGTTTTTGCACGAAGACAATCAAAAAAAATCCTCGGTTTATTTCTTTCTTTTTTCTTCTGCTCTTTGAACCTTAATTTGACCATGCATGAAAACGTTTAACGTTTATTGTTATGGGACTAAAAAAATGCCAGAACAGCGCCACCTACAACAGCCAATTTAATACCACTATGCGAGTTGTTTGAGATCAAGTTTGTCGTAGAGCCATGAAATTCGGCACACATGTTTCTCAACTCAAGACATGAAAACAAAGCTATTATGGTCACGCCCTCTGACAAACAGGAAGTCCATAAATTTCAATGCAAAATGGAAAAATTAAAAGCAATAATTTTCACACATGTCGGTTGGAGGGCTGAAAATCGCTCCACATCATCTCAACACATGCACCATCAATACTTGTTCGTACAAGTTTCATTAGTCACATGGTCATCAATTAGAGACTTTATATAAATGGACACACTCACAGATTATACATGTGCTCCTGTTTACACATACAAAGTCTGATTTGTACTACACTTGACTCGGTTGTTCTACTCCTGGGCCTGGGTCACCTGAAGGTGTGAAATATTAAATTGGCTATTTAGCGCCCCCTACATACTGAGCCAAAGCTTTAGATGGTGAGACAAAACAACAAGTTATACTCATAACTCACAAACATTGTTCTATGGCTACTGGAATAAATCCACCTCCGTTTTGCGGCGCGGCGTGGTGCGGGGCGGTATGGCGCGGGAAGGTGCGACTGTGTGGTGCGATGCTGGGCTGCACGGCGCAGCGAGGGCCGTTCGATGCCGCTTGCGGCTTTAATTTAAGCTTCTTGCTCTTCATTATGCTAAAGTTTTAAAATACTTTCTGCTTGCTTCTTTGTTATGCTAAAGTTAGAGATTTTAGACTTGCTTCTTTATTATATAAAGAAGCAATTACATAATTATTATAAAACTAGCATCATGGAGTATATACAGTGCCTTGCTAAAGTATTCGGCCCCCTTGAACCTTTCAACATTTCACCACATTCCAGGCTTCAAACATAAAAATATTAAAAAAATATTTTTTGTCAAGAATCAACAACGAGTGGAACACAATCGTGAAGTGGAACAAAATGTATTGGATAATTTAAACTTAAAAAAAAAATAAAAAAACTGAAAAGTGGGGCGTGCAATATTATTCGGCCCCCTTGCGCTAATACTTTGTAGCGCCACCTTTTGCTGCAACTACAGCTGCAAGTCGCTTGGGGTACAGTGTATGTCGCTATCAGTTTTGCACATCGAGAGACTGGAATTCTTTCCCATTCTTCCTTGCAAAACAGCTCGAGCTCAGTGAGGTTGGATGGAGAGCGTTTGTGAACAGCAGTCTTCAGCTCTTTCCACAGATTCTCGATTGGATTCAGGTCTGGACTTTGACTTGGCCATTCTAACACCTGGATACGTCTATTTGTGAACCATTCCATTGTAGATTTGACTTTATGTTTTGGATCATTGTCCTGTTGGAAGATAAATCTCCGTCCCAGTCTCAGGTCTTTTGCAGACTCCAACAGGTTTTCTTCCAGAATGGTCCTGTATTTGGCCCCATCCATCTTCCCATCAATTTTAGCCATCTTCCCTGTCCCTGCTGAAGAAAAGCAGGCCCAAAGCATGATGCTGCCACCACCATGTTTGACAGTGGGGATGGTGTGTTCAGGGTGATGAGCTGTGTTGCTTTTACGCCAAACATATCGTTTTGCATTGTGGCCAAAAAGTTCGATTTTGGTTTCATCTGACCAGAGCACCTTCTTCCACATGTTTGGTGTGTCTCCCAGGTGGCTTGTGGCAAACTTTAAACAAGACTTTTTATGGATATCTTTGAGAAATGGCTTTCTTCTTGCCACTCTTCCATAAAGGCCAGATTTGTGCAGTGCACGACTGATTGTTGTCCTATGGACAGACTCTCCCACCTCAGCTGTAGTTATCTGCAGTTCATCCAGAGTGATCATGGGCCTCTTGGCTGCATCTCTGATCAGTCTTCTCCTTGTTTGAGATGAAAGTTTGGAGGGACGGCCGGGTCTTGGTAGATTTGCAGTGGTCTGATAATTGCTTGCACAGTGCTCCTTGAGATGTTTAAAGCTTGGGAAATCTTTTTGTATCCAAATCCGGGGCTGGTGCTCTGTGTACTGGGTGTAGCTCTGACTGCCACCCCCCGACCCAGAAATGGATTAAGGGGAAGAAGATGGATGGTGTGATGCAACACTGAAATTTCCCCACAGTGGGACAAATAAGGGATCTCTTCATCTAAATCATGTATTTCCTCATATTTCATCCTTTTTTTCAGTGTAAATGTAATCTTTGAAAGGGTGTTGGATGAGGTCAGAGCAGCAGACACGGCACAGGATGGATCTGCACCAAACTGCAAACACCTGAAGAGAGTCCGGGTTTTCACATTAAGTACTTGGAGCGGCCCCTGTAGTGAAACAGCAACATCTAAAACAAGACTGAAAATGTGAGTCGCCTCCTCGCTGCCTCCTGATGCTCCGGCCTCAGCACACGCCACGGTTACTACAAAAAACACTCAAATGGACCTGGTCCAGAGACCCAGGGCCGTGTTGTGATGCTGCTGACTGGAGACTGACTTTTTACTGCTGAATAATGTTCAAATGTTTGAGTGGGAAAAGCAGACTTATTTGGTATAAAGGCGGAGACTTACTCCTGGATGCCAAATGTTTTTCAAAGGGTTTCCAAAATGCGGGTCTCCACAAACCACATTGTATTCACAGCAAAAAGTGATCAAATATGAGGTAATATATGCATAAATCAAGTGTTTTTTAACCAAATTGGACACATTTAAAAAAAACAAAAAAAAACAAAACAAGACTCTCCAAGGGGAAAAATCCATTTATCCCTATTTCCAGAACTGTTGCTTTATTTTCTCATTCCAAACATTATCATTTTGCTTTGTCCCATTGACAATTCTTGTTTTAAAGCATTCAAAATCTGCTCAAATTAAGACACATTTAGCCAAATTTGAGCAATTTTTCACAGTTATTGACACGGTAAGAAACATTTACCTCCAAACCACCTTGTGGCTCTGGGTAGGTAGATTTTGGCCCCTACAGTAGGCTGGGCTCAGAAGTATATTGCTCTGGGAGAGAGTAGTCAGAGGCTGAATTTGCATTCAGTTGTATTCAAAGGTCTTTTTTTAAAAAGGGAACAACAAAATAAAGTGCAGTAAGCCACAGCACAGACAAATGGCCGTTCAGATATATTTACAAACTTTGCATGGAAAGATTTGATCATACTCAACCTCGGTAAACACAGGAAATGTCAATTCATAACAAAATCATTTAACAATCATTAACTCTGTCCACAGTCCAAAAAACCCAGGTCTGCGAAGAATGAGAACGAGAGAAAGGGCTGAAATCCGCTCTCAGAGGTAGAATCGATCCCACTTTAGCGAACAACCTTTTGGGTCCTGCTCTGATTGGCCTCAGAGGTCTGACGTGA